TGATGAGAGTGGTTGGTGATGGACTTATAGTCGCGGTTAGTGCCTACTATGGCTGGTGGTGATTAGTGGTTGATTGTGGTGATAGAGGTGGCAAAGGCGATTATGATGGCGACAGTGGATAGCAGCAAGTGTTGATCCGTGGTGATGGCAATAGGTAACTATGGTAGCGGGTTAGCATAGATGTAGAGAATTTATTATGTGTTATTAAATATTCAGTCTCATTAAGATTAAAATTTTAATCAAAATATTGAGATTATTTTTTTATCATATATAAATAAACTTGTTTTTCTTTTATTTTATTTTTCTCTTCTACCTTTATTTATCAAGATTTCTTATATTATCCCTCAGTCATTGATGGGAGCTTTTCTTCTGTATGGACATCGAATAGGAGAACCGTCCGGTTAAGCACTGGGTACCCAGCAATTGGGTGACGTGACACATTTTTATTGGTCTCCGGATGCCCTCCATACTCCACACAGAATAATAAATTCATTGATGGACATGAAGCCAAGCGGGTGAGATGTTCGTCCAAGGGGAAGTCGTTGGAGCTGCACTATGGATTGAGAAATTATTACATGCGGTCACCGATATTGTCTAAAATCTTAAAACTAAATTAGTTGGACAAACATAATCTCTTTGATTATGCTATATTTGCATCATCAAACTCCTTAAATGATCTTTAAAAGTTTTTTTTTTTGAACGGGATATCTACTTGCTGTCACCCCAATAGGAGGCAGTTGACAGTGTAACTAATCCCTCGACGAGCCTACCAGCAACCTGCCCCACAGGTGCATGACCCGCAATCGATTTCTCCCCACTTAAGAGGTCGTGCCGCATGAGAGGGGAATCAAACATGAGTTCGGAGGTTTTCAACTATGCTCTCCCACTAATCCAGCTAAGCCCGGTGAAATGATCTTTAAATGTTTCCAATTATGCTTTTGAAAACTTTGAACCATATCATTTTTAGTATCATTAGGTTTGCCTAATCAAACTGCACCATCCCCATCAAAAATTTATCTAAAATCAAATTCAAATAATCTCAAAATCAACTCCTAAGTTTATGAGCCTAAACACATGCTTACCAAAAATTTAATCAAACTATATAATTCATCAAATAAAATAAAATATAATTAGGACGTGCGGGTGGGCGAGTCGGGTAGGATGAGCAAAGGATCAATTTTAAACGATTTTATTTAAAATATTTGTCTTTTCTTTTTCTCAAGCAAAGGATAAATAGTAAATCGTAAAATGACTCAAACCTTAGGCCTTGGTACAAATTATTTAACCAATAATTACATATCCTTCTACTTTTTTCATGTTCCCTTTTGCAAAAATAATTGTCCAAAGCAGCCCCACATTTCCAAACAAATTCTCTTTACATGCCTACTTAAAAATCAAAGACAAACAAGTGGCATGCATCAGTGTTCCACCCCACTAATCAACTAACAAGATTTCAATAAGTTGTAATCCATTGACTTATACAACATAGAAGTTTTTGCCGACAGCTACCATTCAATATTATTATTTTGTTTGAGAAAGTTTCCTTTTTGCTTAATTTCTAAAACAATTTTTAAAAATTAATACAAAAAATTTTAGTTTAATATATTTTTGTAATAAAAAATCGCCTAAAAAAGCATCAATAAAGTTGCCACAAACTATGTACCGGCACTCGGTACCGCCGGATACCGTTATGTACCCAATGATTTTGTGGAAGGTGCGCACTTCACACCTAATAATTTTTCCCTCTTCTATAAACTATAAAGTCGCTTGAGACAGTTCTTAAAAAAAAAGGTTGGGCCCACTAAAAATTAAGTAAAAAAATAAAGGTCTGGACGTAGTACTGCGGAAGGCCAAAGTCTGTCATGACATCTCTTTAATATTACTATATTATATAACATTTTTATCCTTTTATTTATGTGATAATCTCTTAACATTTGAACAAAAAATCTTAGGTTAATGCAAATGTAAAAGAATGCATAAAAAAATTATACAAATACTGTGGTACTTATTTTATTCTGATATCATTAACCACTCATATATATAAATTTGAGTGCGGTTTTTCTTAAATTAAATATTCCAAAGGTATTAAATCATGTTTCAAGAGGCAATGGAGAAGACAAACTAGCATTTGGAAGCAGAAAGTTCGAGCCATTTTCATGTTTTGAATCAAGCGGTAACACACATTTTTAGACTACTGGAGCTTCTACGTATGAAAATAGGGGGAAAAGCTGATATATCATCAAAAAACTATCATTTTCTCGGGCTTCTTTCAAAATTCATAAATTCAAACTCTACAATTAATGTACTAACAAAATTTAAACATCTAAGAATTAAATACAAAAACTAAATATGCATGCTAATCTATAATTAATTATAGAAGATATGTTATGCTCAATGTAAGTAAAGTAATACAAATGAGTGCATAAGTTTCTAACACATTATAAATGGTTGTAGTCAAGTATATAAGAAAATATACAGTTGTAATCAATAGCTTTAATTAATGTGGTGGATGATAACATTTTAATGAGATTAATGTATAGAAAAGATTTTGTATATTTGGTTTAATAATAGTACACATTTTAGATATCTTGGATCTATTGTTCAGAGTGATGGTGAAATAGATGAGGATATTATCAGCAGAATTCAAGTTGGATTTGAAGTGGAGGAATGCATCAGGCTTATTATGTGATAGAAATGTACCCATCAAACTTAAGGGAAAATTCTATAAGATGGTAGTGAGGCCTGCAATGCTTTATGGTGCCGAATGTTGGCCATTAAAAGAGAAGCATATTATTAAGTTAAGTGTGGCAGAGATGAGGATGCTCAGGTGGATGAGTGGCTTTACCCTTAGAGATAAGATACGAAATGAGCATATACGTGAAAAGGTTGGAGTAACTCCAGTAGAAGATAAGATTAGAGAGATTCTCCTTAGATGGTTTGGTCACATAAAACGGCGGCCTTCCGATGACCCGGTTAGGAGATTAGAGGTATTAGATTTGACTTATGTTAAGAAAGGTAGGGGTAAACCTAAAAAGACTTGGTTAGAAAATATTAGGAATGACCTTTCTTTATTAGATTTAAACGAGAATTTGACTTTTAATAGGACACAATGGAGAAAAAAGATTCATGTAGCCGATCCCACGTTGTGGGATAAAGGCTTGATGTTATTGTTGTTTGTTGTTGGTTTAATATTTAGAGTTTTAAGTGGAATGGTGGGGGTTTATAGGTGTATAGTGTTAGGAATGTCAATATTATTCCATATTAGATAAGTTTGGGTTGATTTGAAAGATTATTTTAGAGAATAAGATTCTACTGATGAAAATAGTTGGAAATACTTGTGGAGGGTCAAATCAGGATATACTTATGGAGTATATGGTTATATTTTGTGGAGTGTAGGTATCGAAGAGTAGGGAACAAGACTAAACCTTAGTCTTGCATGATTAATTGAGAGTACAAGTTAAGTTATGGCAAGGTCGTGAGGCTTGGGTTGCGTTACAATTAATATTGGACAAAGCTCAAGATGTGGAGGGAACTGTTAGAATGATTAAAAATAGGTGTTTAAGATAGAAAAAAAACAATCATGCTTAAAATTAAATACTAACCATCTTATTTTATCAAAGAAAATGCACACTTGAAGTCCCGAGCCACAAGCAAAAGAGAGGAGCAATAATTCAATTCATAATGCATATCATCCTCTTATATTACATGACTCTTGGAGTTCCCTCCTTTCAAACAAAATGAGAGAAATTTGAGAAGGAAGAAGTTAGGTTAGTAGAGTTACAATCTTTGTTGTTTGCATAATTGGAAAGAGTCTCAACCTACACTAACAAATATTGTTTCTTTTGAAGAAAATTTGTAAGAATTCATTATTGGAGCATCAATTTGAGCTTTAAGCTCTTTTAGAGTGATTTCATTTGAATAGGATGCTCATGATGTTGCTTCACATGATGGGCTAAGAATTAGGCTGTTAAATAGATATTTTTATTTTATATATTTGAGGATAGTGATTATTTGTTTTAGCCAATTTCTTATTTAATTATTATCAACATTTATTATATTTGTATTTTTGTCTATCATCTTATAAATTTTATCGAAGTATTCTAAATGATTTTAAAGTTAAATATGAGTTCCTCACAGAGAGCGTCTTGATGAACGAAGGCTAGAAAATAATTGAGAGGACTTATGCTATGTAGTTGAACAATAATAATGACATGCAAAAAATTTTACATTTCAAAATTACTTATTTTGAGCTTTATTTTGATATCAAATAATATGTTATGCTATTTAAAAATGTTTCTCTAAGATCTTGTTTCTCTTCCTAATGCTAATCAAAGTTTATGAAAATTTGGAGGAAGTTTATTTTGGAGAGTGCAGAAATTATCAGTTAGAGAAGTCCTTACAAAACAGACTATTTGATAATATTTCTTTTAGTTGATGTTCATTTTTTAATTATGATTTAGACTTCATTTGGTACAACTTTTTTTTTGCTTTTTAAAATAATTTTTTAGTACAAAAGTTTTTTTAATTAGAAATTTTTATACTAGAAAAGTGCTTTTGAAATCTTAAAAAGTTATTCCAAATAAAGCCTTAGTTGCTCATATAGAAAAGATTTTTAATTAAAAATGTTTAAGAGAGAGAGAGAGAGAGAGAGAGAGAGAGAGAGAGAGAGAGAGATGTACAAGTATAAGAGACTTCTTGATCATAAACTACTAAGGCTTAGTTTGGGATACTTTTAGGCAACTATTCCTTCACCCTTTTTAATAAGTTTTTATACTAGAACATAGTAAAAAAACTATCTTAGGTTTCGTTTGGGGAGGCTTTCTTAATGCTTTTCAAATAAGTTTTTTAGCACAAATATTTCTAGTTCAAAAAAATTTTATACTAAAAACCTAGTTTAAAAAGCACTAAAAAAATCGTCTCAAAAGAAGCTCAAATTCCACAACTTTTCATATGCTACCAATCAGTCACTAAAAATCAACATAAAATCCAAAAGCACAAGAAAAAGAAAGTAAATTTTTCATTGCTCGCCAAGAGCAACTCCATGCCTCCATACAAGCTCTTGATTCCTTAATTACATTGCACAAATATTACATAGTAAAATATTACTTTTCTCAAGTAAAAATAATTGCAATTAAACTACCTACCCAAAAAACTGTGAAACTATCCTGAAACTATACAATTAAAAATTTGAAATGGCTGATAAAATGGTCTACACAGAGAACATCAAATCAAAGAGAGCCAAAAAGATAAGCTCTGTTGAGATTGAATTACTTCATCTACAAAATTCCTCAATGATCACCAAATTTCCACCATCTTGCATCGGTGAAAAAGTTTGTGCTTGGCTTTCCCAGCTGCATAAGCAGCCTTCTCATCTCCTCAGAGCTTTTCAATGTTGAGCAAGCAGAGAAAAGCAAGCAGTTCTATCAGAACAACTTAAGAGCTGTTTTCAGCTTGTTCTGCTTCCACTTTGGTAGCTTGTAGAAAGCACTTTTGCTCATATTGAACTTCGCTTTAAACTCAATAGAAGATAGATATGCCTGAATATGCCACATTACAAAGTTTTTCAATCTTCCTGAAAAAAAAAGGAGAAAAATTTATGGTAATTTTCAGTGGCTTACTTCTCGTTTGGTTACATCGATATCTGTAACAGGGTCTGTGGATGATGTTATTAAGCATTCATAAGGGTAAGTAGGAAGATCTTCTTCATCATTGACTTCCTCTTTTGGATCTTCGCTTATGGTGAGATTTCCAATTCGGCCACTCAATGCGCTTCCATTGTCTGTGGACTCTGCTTTAGTAGTTCTAACTGGAAGCCTCACTTCACGTGTAAATTCATTGTTACAATTCAAAAAATGAAAAAAAAAAAAAAAATCATTATGAAACTGAAAATTTTGGTCATATCTATACCTCTAGATAATGGTTGCCCAGATGATTGTGCTGCCGATTCAAAAGAAGAAGTTAGTGCAGCTATTGCTGCAGAACGAGGAGCTGTCTTTGTATCTGATAGTGAAGATTTTGGATAAATTTTTCCAACAACTGGAGGAGTTGAGAAATTTCTGGAGTTCAGATTCTCAAACGTAGAAGCTATTGCATTGAAGGCAGGAGATCTTCCTCTTGGACGATGTCTGTCTGCGGTGCTGGAAACACTTCGGGAACGTGGAGATTTGTCCGTTAAAATTGACCTTCCACTGTACGTTGGTAAAAGCCGCTTGGATTTCTAAAAATAGAAGGTTACATGTAAGATTAACAAGTTATGAAACGATTCCTACAAATTATGAGGAACAGATAACAAAAATAAGTAATTTAACTGAAAATTTTAATAGCTTCATAGGCAAAGACAAGAAATGATCTTACAGTTATTACTGGAGTGACTCCATGTTTTACTATGGCAAGCTTCCTTTGATATGAATTACCATGCACCTGTAATTACAAACAAATGTCAAGACCTACAACAAGAAACTAACTAGAAATATTTTAATATAGTTTTGATTCTTACTATCAGTTCTATAAGAAATCTACAGAAGTTCCAACAAACAAAAAATTTCAGTTCGAATCTTAGATGGGGTAAAATGCAGGAAAATTATCCGTGTCATACATAGCAATTCATAAAGAAAGGGAAGAAGCTTTTCTCGTGTCATACAAACAACTTTGCAATATTTGACTTGATAATACAACTCCGAAAAAACTGCATCAACTAGTACTCATACAACAAAATTTTGTTTTTTTTTTTTAAATTAACAAGGGTAAGTCGCCCGTTTAATGGGCGACTTACGGGCAATAGTTTTTCTCGTTACTCGTATGCTTGTCCAGCATATAACGGCTAGCTGAGTCATCATGGGATAATGGGGGTAAGTCAAATAGGAAGTCGCTCGTTAAACGGGAGCTTTGGCAAGTTTAATTTTTTTTTTTTTTTATGTTGGTTAATCGCTTAGGAGATGAAGGAATTTCATGGCTTACTAAACTTTTTAATACTATTTTGAAGACTAAAAAGATGCCAGATGAGTGGAGAATGAGTATGTTAATAACGATACTTAGTTTAAAAAATTGCCCAAAAAAGAATTCAACGAACTAATCACCAACATATAAGATTCAATACAAATGCTTACTGCTGACTTGGAAGAGTCCCAACTGAAAAAGCGAGTGAAATATTGAGGTTCACTTCCCTCTGTAACAATAAATATTGGAGTTTTTCGAGATAACTTCTCCATAAGGAAATCACGTTCAAGAAATTTCTGATGCAATTAAAAAAACAAAGAAACCATAAGAAACAAGAGGACAAACGGCAAAAAGATCTAAGAAATCAACACAAAACTTAGCAACAAATAAATTTTCACAATTTGCACATTCCTAACCATCTCTACCTTTCCTATGTTTAAAGCCTCCAATTTACTCTTGGAATCCACCTGCTGCCCAACCCAGACGAAGATGTCTGATTGACAGTCCAAAATGTAGATATCTTCTGTCATCAAATCATCTTGACTAAAGTTGAAAACTTCATTGACCTAAAAAATATTATTGCTATGGTTAAAAGTTAAAATCTTAAAACGAGTTAGTAGTTGAAAATCTACCAAAGTAATTTATGTAATTAAAGCACTAATTATGTTGTGATGAAGATTCATATCAAGATGTCAAATTTGTAGAGCTCCCACAGAACAAACCTTCAATGTGCCTACACACAACCAAGAACATAGAGCAAGAAAACAGAAATTAGCCACATGCATAACAACATAAATAGTATAGACAGGGAAAAGAAAAGAAAGAAGGCATTTAAATTTTCAACCACCACCTTGAGAATAGGAGCAAAAGAAAAGGTGAGGATCACTTGCGGGTTGTTTTGCAATTTTTTCATTGGGGTGTTCTCTTTTACCCCCAAGTAAATCCCAAAATTGCTCCGTTTCTGCTCCTTCTTTCAGAGGCTTGTACTGCAAATTTGGCTGTCAAAATAAATATGATCATCAAATTTAACATCAGTTGACTAAAAATATGCATGATATGCACATCAGTTGAAACTGCATCAACAACACTTGGAGGACTTGTAAGGTATGATCACACCACTTATTACAGCAGGAATTTCTCCAATTCTCTAAATTATCGAAAGAGTCAAGGGAACAAAAGTCATGTTGAAGGGCCAAAAGAGTCAAATTTTGATAAGATGAGGGAGGGCCGAATTGGAGGATAAGAAAACTCCAAATAGTCCAAGGACCAATTTGGTCATTTATCTAATCTTATGCCACCAATGTGTTGGCATCTTTGAAACACTATCACCTATGGTTCAAAAGCACTAGGAAATGCCATATATAATGATTAATTTTTCCTTTTTTTTTTTACATAAAATAAACTAAAGGCATTCGGTTGTCTTATTTCTTTTTTTTCAGAAAGAAAAAGAAGAAATGTTTTAATTGCAAAAAATGGATTATGAAGAAGTATAATTGAGATGAGCACTTGGTTGAAGCGTATTTAGAGAGCATGCATATAACAGTGGTTAGTTGTCTCCATTGTGACCTAACAGTCATGGAAACAACCTCTATATAATACAACAACAAACAACAACATCAAGCCTTTGTCTCACTACGTGGGGTTGGCTACATAAATCATTTTTCTCTTAAAAGATTCATGTCGTGATTACTCGATAAGTTTTACGCTGGCTATCGACTACCTAACGCAACCCTCCACTTTTCTCATTCAGGACTTGGGACCTAACAACGGCAGTGTTTAAGGCTAAAATTACTTGCAAAAACCCTCCCCGCAATATACATTGGCAGGAGTTCACGAAATAAGCATGCCCACTTGATTGAAGCATATTAAGACCATTTCATTTTAACTATGTAATAGAAGTGGCAGTTCATGTTGCTCGTTCATTAGGATGTGATCCATAAGTATCATGCCATAACAAGCGCAATGCAAACAATATTAGGATTTTCAATGACCAAAAACAGATGTAGCTTGCAGCCTCTAACATCTGAACTAACCACTCCTTTGTTCAGATTTAATCAGGATAGGATGATTGCATACCTTTATCAGATCTAGTTGCCTTTCCAGAAGTTCATGATCCTCTGAGGTAGTAAGGTTTCCAGCCCATGTGTAAAGGGCATTACAAGCCTGGAGTATGAAACAGTATAATGAATTCAAAGAAGATGCCACCTGAACAGAAAAAAAAAAAGGAATTAATGTGATTATATTCATCCAAATATTAAAGTTTACCTAGATAAATTACTTAGACGCCTTCTTATTACTATGCAAATCAGACGATTTAATAGAATCAACATGCAGTGAGATAATAACTAGTTTAAAGAACATATCTTAGTATTTTACTCTATCCGATCAAAAGTCCAAAATGCTCTTAAGATCTATTGATATAAAACCATGATAAACAAGCAATTATGACAAATACTCTACAGTGATAAAAAGTCATGTAGTTACTTAGATAATGTTGCACAGTTCAAAACAAATCAAGTCCACTTAAATAAGAAAAAAAACTTAATAAAAATGATTCTAAGTACAACTCAAGGAAATCAGAGATAGAAATTCACATTCTAACAATATTTACCGCATCAACTTGGATGGCTTGCATAATATCTGGTCCCAAACCTTGAACGCGAAAAAGAGCAGTTCCATCTTCTTTATACGAATCATCAACAATGTTTCCCTCTGAAATGAATTTCTTATACCCAGAGCTATAGCCACCCTGTGCAGGAACAAAAAAAAAAAACTTTTATTTCTCAAATTAACTAATAAAAACAATGTATATGACAAAAATATGAGGTTTTTCTTGCCTCAAAGATATCCATCTCTTCAGACATACCTTCAACACTATAAATCTCTGGAAGATGGCACAGAATTGGAGAGGTTCCCTTCCTTCAAATATATGAACCTGTGAATTAAAAGTAGCTTTTAAAATGCAGCATATCGTATAAAGGGGGAAAGTAATTAATGAAAACTTAATCACATATAATTGGTTATATATTATAAGTAAAGCATATAAACTGAATATTACCTGAACTGCCCGAGACTTACAAGATAGAGCCATCTTATAAGCTATTGAAATAGCATCAGCCCTTTCTTCCTGCATTCAATCATAGTAACCACAAACAAGGATCATAATTTTGCTAATAAAACTCTACACCACCTTAAACTTCTGCTTTAGATTTCAACGCATCGGATTTCTTTCACAGAGAACATTGTTAACCAGAAGACAGATCAAAATTTAGAAGAAAATGTATATAAGTCTCAAACAGATGCCTATGATGATTGTAATACAAACGATACCTCTCTTAGTTATCAGACTAAGCTAAGTGCAGTTCCCTGTCTTGGCTTTTTACGGCCAGAAAGCCAGCAGCTTTACATTAATTTTAGACGCCAAAAAAAAAAAGAAAGAAAGAAAGAAAGAAAAAGACTGATTAGAATGAAATATTACATTCAAAGCTTAAACAGGATCGGATTTTGGATTCGGAAGTTGAAAACTTAATTAATCTTTTATTCGATCAATCCAATGAAACCAAAAGCAAAAAACAAAAATAAAATTAAAGTTTCATGCTTCATATGATCATCATCATTAGCCTTATCACAATTATTTAAGGTGAGTGTCATTATCAGATGTTGCACTCTAGGGGCTGTTTGGCATCGGATTTACAGCGGGATTTAAGTCGGATTTACGCTAAATCTAGCCATACAGTTTTGTGCGCGCGTTAAATCCCGGATTTACAGATTTACGGCTTAAATCAGGGATTTATTAAATCCCTCGGGTAGGCGGATTTAACAGGATTTAAGTCCGAGCAGAAATCTTACTCGCGGCGCCCGTGTCGTTAACTTCAATTTCACCCTATTTTTACAAACAAACGGAGACATTCATCTTCCCAGCCGCCTCAACCTCGCGAATTCTTTTCCTCTTCGTTAATCTGCTTCGCTGCGTTCGACTCAAGCGACAAGTAGTGAACGTTTTTCCTTTGTTGTATAGATCACAATCCGCAAGTTTTTTACATTTTTTTTTTCCGCAAGAAATTTTCCTTATTTTTTTGGGTGTGATGCAAGGAGATGCTTGCACCAGATTGGAAACAATCTCGTGCATGTTACAAAAAATTGAAAATCAGAAAAGTTAAATATATTGAATTTTCATTGTTAGCATCTCTTCTTAACATGAATGTGTGGTAAATTAATTATTTTTAGATTACCTTAAGCATTATTATTTAATTTAATTTGCAAAAATCACTATATTAGGCTAGTTAAAGTATTTCATTATCATATGATGTTTGCTATATTAACGCGACAAATTATTCTTTGGTAGTACAATAGTTAGAGTAAATTAATTCAAAATGAAGCGAACGTTTAACACCGGGTTTGGCAAAGAACTTTGAATCGGTGAGCGACAATGAGTCATGAAGTCGATCGGCGTGAGAAAATTTATTTCAACATTATATGTATATGAAGTCAACCAGTGAATTGAAGCTTGCTCTTAATTATGACTTATTCTTTCTTTTTGGCAAATATTACTTTATCATTTCCTCTATTTTGAAAATTACATTAATATTGTATAAACTCAAATGGGTGGTATTATGTTTTATACAATGAATTTGATTACAGAAATATCTCCATCAATATTAAATTCCTAACTGTCATAAATCTTGAAATATATTACCAAACAGTTTTTAAGAATTTTACCGGATTTATCATTTGACATACCAAACAATTTTTAAGATCTAACCTTTTCAAGATTTATTAAATCCGGATTTACAGTATTTAATAAATGCCACTTGTTGCCAAACATCCCCTAAACTTTCAGCCAGCTCTAACTCGCGTAACTAGCCAAGCTTTTCCAAACAACACATTCGTTCGTTTTCAAAACTGCACACAGGGAGTTTGTTATATATACCTCACCTAAAAACTGACTGAGCCCCCCAAGCATTCGAACTCTCTCGCTCTTCCAGAACCGTGAAAGAGTCGAACAGAGAGAGAGACGAAGCAGAGTA